GTCGATGGATACGCGTGGAACACTCAGAATAATAGAAACGATTCGTGAAATCTAAATATTTTGAAATGGTAACAGTAGGATTAATTCGGTCTCTAATATTTACAACTCGAACGATGAAATCATAATATATGATTTGTTTATATCCCCAAATTGAAATTTTCAAACTAATAACATCGATTCGCAAAAATGATTATGAAATAATGTTTGTATTCTTTCGATCGATTGAATCGATGAATAAAATAGCATGGAATTAATTTAATTATGTATCTAATACAAATAGTATTTTTTATAACAACCGAGTAACCGTAACTTTTTTTTCCTTTTATATTTAATTAAAAAAAAAAAAAAAATGAGCGTTACGATCGATGACAGAATGCCCCAAAATATTACACTTTTATATCATCGGATAAAAATATTCGTTAAAGAACACCATGTTCGATAAATCTCATTTTTCCTTCGATAGATGATAAATACGCGTTATCGATATTACTTTCAAACCACATGCTCTCCACGATAGCTCTCCATCGATTCCTTCTTCCTCTTTCCTTCTTCTCGCCCTCCCTTTCCATCCTCATTGTCGTCCACAGGGCAAAGAATTTGTGTCCGACCCGGGGATGGCACCATTTCTATTCATCTCGAAAAATAAAGGCGTGCCCGATCGCGAGCCCCGATAACCATGAATATTTTATCCGCATAATATCTCGTCGCGCACCACCCCCGCACGTTCACACGTACGCCGGTACACGTGTCCCAATCTCCCTCTCACCATTCTTTCTTCACCCATTCAAGCCATCGTGCGACTCGTCTAGTATCCAACCTTCGTGCCCACCAACCCGTTCTCCGCACCAATGCCCGATGGCCAAAATGAAAAATAATTCGTTTCAACGCGTACCGTCAGCGATGGGTATAAATCCGATACGAATTCGAACAATAATTCGAGTAATAAATTAAACCACGAGATTTCGATTTTTCTCTTTTTCTCGAAATAAGGTAATTAGAGTGTTAGTTTGTGAAACTTGCTCGCGATAAACTCGATCCCATCGCTGGACGCCACAGAGGAACAAACACTGCTTTGGCTCGCGGCTGTATTTCGGGCGATTTTGTGCACTCCGCTCGGGACTGGCAGCTGCGTGGGCGTTCTATAAATGGGTTCTATGTCAATCCGGAGCTTAATTTAATGTTTGGAACCATGGAAATGAACGTTACCCTATACGCTCCTACTATTAATCTTTCCGTATCGATATTTTTTCTTCCTCTACCATTTAATCTCCCTCTTTCCCCCCTTCTCTCTCAAGAGGTTTCGCCAACTTCCTCCAAAAAAACGCGGAGAGGAGCAACAGGAAGGGAAAGAGCGAGAGGAAGAAGAGAGAGCGCGTCGAAAACGCGTCGAAAAGCGGATCGGTTTCACGAACGACACGCGTTAATGCCCAATAAACTCGAGCAGATGATCAGCATACGGCTTCTTCCACGCTCGTAGCCCCCGCAGACATTCTCCCACACCATAGACACGAGCTCTCTCTCTCTCTCTCTTTCTCTCTCTCTTTCTCTCTTCACAGCTCTCTCGAGTGGT